TTCCCTACCCTATTCCTAGTAGTTTAAAATAATAAAAAAATTAAAAAAAATAAAATATGTTTTTTAAAAAAGAATAGCATCCACATCAGTTGGAAAAAAGGAGCGGTAAAGGTCATCAGTGTGCTGATTGCACTGGGGCCCACAACTCCGGTTGACCTCACCCACCACCCCTCAGATAGATTTTAAATAGCTTTGGCAAAATGATCGACCCTGAGGAACCCCGCAATTGGGGATCCAGAGGGTGAAAGTCACCTCACCAAGCTGCACTCTCTGGAGACGGTTCTCCATGAAGGAACAGAGTCACACCAAAGCGAGGCCACTGATCCCCAACTCGGAGAGCCGCCCCAGCAGGACACCGTGGTCAACGGTATCAAAGGCTGCTGAGCTATTGAGGAGGACTAACAAGGAAATACTGCCCATCGGCCTCCCTCACGAGGTCCTCTGCAGGGCGACCAATGCTGTTGGTGCATGCCACGGCCTAAAGCCTGACTGGAACAGATCAAGGGCAACAGTTTCCTCCAGGAGGGCCTCTCGATCACTTTACTCAAGAAGGCTGCTTTGATGAGCTAAGCCTGCCAAAGGTTGAAAGAGGAGGTGGTGGCAAGACAGCGCACAAGGACTCTGTCCACCTCATTGGACATCACAGGAAGAAAGCACGTTAACCTCACCAGATAAGACGATGCACTAACCATCTTAGCTCAATCTACTGTCTGTAAAAGGGGATCAAGAGCTTCTGATTGAATGGCTTCTGACTGAACCTCTTTCTCATTCTTACACATATATGGTTTCTCCCCCAAATGAGTTTTTAATGTAAACCAAGGCTATTGCATTGACTGAAGCTCCTTCCACAATCCATAAATTCATACGGTTTCTCTCCAGTGTGTTTGTTGATGGGAACTAAGGACAGTGCTCCGGCTGAATCACTGCACATTCAATGTGTCTCCTGTATGAGTTCTTAGATGCGAACTAAGGTTACATCTCTGAGTGAAGGTCTTTCCACATTCCATACATTTATAGAGCTTTTCCCCTGTGTGAATTCTATGATGTTTAGTATATGATCCCCTGTCACTGAAGCTTTTTTCACATTCCATACATTTATGGAGTTTCTGCCCTGTGTGAGATAGTTGATGGCAACTCAGGCTACTACTCTGACTGAAGCTCATTCCACAATCAAAACATTTATATGGTTACTCCCCAGTGTGAGTTCTTTGATGGGAATTCAGGGTACTGCTATTAATGAAGGACTTCCCACATTCCATACATTTATATGGTTTCTCCCCAGTGTGACTTCTTTGATGTAACCTCAGTTTACTGCTCTCAATAAAGCTCTTTCCACAAACAAAACATTTACAGTGGTGCCTTGCTTTACGATTGCCTCGCTTAATGAGGAAATCACTTGACAATTAGGTTTTTGCGATCGCAAAAGCAATCACAAAATGATGGTTTAAAATGGGAAAATCTGCCTCACGATGATCAGTTCCCTGCCTTGGGAACCGATTTTTGCTTTACGACAATCAGCAAACAGCTGATCATCAGGTTTCAAAATGGCCACGGGGTGAAGAAAATGGCCCCTGGCTGTGTTTTGGGAAGGATTCCTCACTTTACAGGCACCGAAAATGGCCGCCTTATCAAGGATCTTCACTGGACGGTGAGTTTTCAGCCCATTGGAACACATTGAAGCATTTTCAATGCGTTTCAATGGGCTTTTTTATTTCGCTTGATGAGGATTTCGTATAGCTATTTTGCTGGAATGCATTATCCTCGTTAAGCGAGGCACCACTGTATAGTTTCTCCCCTGTGTGAGTTCTTTGATGTCTATTCAGGTTACTGCTGTGACTGAACCTCTTTCCACATTCCATGCATTTATAAGG